TCTCTTTTTCCATCTCTGATAGCCCTCCGCAGGTCCCATCTGGACTTCCTCAAGGCCTCTGGGTCACCGGAGTTAAAGGCAGAGGACCGTGCTCTGAGCTTAGCACGGACATTACCATTTACCCAGGGCTTTTGGTTAGGGAAAGTCCTGACACTGACCCTAGGGACGACATCATCAATGCATTTGGAGATATATGAAGAGACAGTGTCTGTGTATTCGTTGATGTCCCCATCCGCTGCAACACAGAACATCTGCCAGTCTGTTGTTTCAAAGCAGTCCTGGAGAGTGCTAATGGATTCAGCACTCCAGCGTTGAACTGCCCGAAAAACCGGTTTTTCCTGTTTTAGGCGCTGTCTGTAGGTTGGGATTAGCATGATGGAGGTGTGATCCGACTTCCCAAAAGCGGGGCGGGGGAGGGGTTTGTGGCTGTTCCGTATTTGTGTGTAACAATGGTCAAGAGTCTGGTCACCCCGGGTGGGAAAGTTAATGTGCTGATGATATTTTGGCAAATTTCCTGAATCAACTCAAACAAATAATTAAAAAAATGAATCACACACGTTGATAACAGAAATTTGCAAATTCAAGGGTGTCACTGTCAATCAGGAAGTTGCCAAAACCCGAAGTAGTTGGAAACCACAGGTGATATCACTGCGTGACGCAAATGGACAAATAATATTACTTTTTGCAAACAAGTCTTTCAAACAGTAAAGTAATTATCAATCCTCCACTTGCAAAGAAAATTAGGCACCAGCAAATTATTTTCAGAAAATGAATTCCTTCAGGGCAACACACTCCCCACCTGGGCTATGTAAGGTCACTAAGAACTTGCGGGAGTCCAGAACGTTAGTCTTTAGAGCAGTCTTTAGGTAAAAGTAGAACAATTTCTGCAATTGGTCTAAGAAAGGTTTTCACATTGCCTTGATTGGTTGTCTTCACCTCGACCTTTCGTACATGTTCATCCTTTACAGGGAACGTAGCAGCAATCCTGGCATTGGCCAGGATTCCTGGCATCCTGGCATTGGCCAGGATTCCTGGCATCCTGGCTCCTGGCATCCTGGCATCCTGGCATTGACCAACTGCAACTGCTGGCCATTGGGCCAGCAGTTGCAGTTGTGTGGTCGTGCATTCATGATGACTGTGACCTCTGCCATAAGTGTGCAAAGCACTTCATGGTTTAGGCAAGTGTTTTGATGAAGAAACATTGAATCAATGATTCTTCTGGCGATGCCGATCATGCACTCCAAAGAGCCTTCCATATGGGATCGAGTGGCAGGTTGAATTTCCAGCTGCATCCCCACTCACTGAGGTACCTCTGCACCTTTTTTTCCATCCCAAGCGCCTTGCACACTCCAATAAAGTTGGTTCCAGCATTTATGCAGCTGGAGCTGTCCATGGACTCGCTGACCTCAATATGCACAGCTCTCGAACTCATACAGCTGAACATGATGGCCCACCGTTTGCTCTCTGCCTGTCCTCCTCTGGTGCATCTGGTTGTAATAGACCAGGACCCGAACACATCAAGCCCCACATATGTAAAAGGAGGGCAGGATTTGCTGTCTTCCAACTGTCCATGCAGCTTGCAGCAGATTACGCATTTGTGGAGTATTGAATTGATTAGCGTCTTGCCCCCCAAGATTCACAATCCTGCTGCCCTGATTGCTCCTTCCATCAGGTAATGGCCTTGGTGTTTTACCTGCTCGTGGTGATGTCGTGTGAGCATTAGGGAGATGTGGCTATCTTTGGGAAAAATAATTGGGTTCTTTTCTGCAGCTGCAAGGCTAGAGTACTTTAGTCGGCCTCCAATGCAAATGAGATTGTCCTCCAGGGTTGGGCTGACTTTAAGCAAAGGGCTGTTTTTGGAGATTGCTTTGTTGGCTTGGAGGACTGACAGTTCTCTTGCAAAAGATGCCTTTTGTGTTGCTTTAAGAATAACATTCTTTGCTTGAGCCATTTCATCTGGGGTGCGAGATAAGTTACATCTGTGCCAGCCCTTGACTGTTTTGGTTTGAATGTTTGCGAGATCTTGCCATGTGGATGAGGATTGCAACTCCTCTCACCAGGGAGGCGAAGGTGGAGAAGCGTTGGAAGTTACCAGAGGTAAGTATTGGTCTATCCAGGTAAGTAGCACAGGTTTGTACTTGTGGTCGGATTTCTGAGTCTTTTTCAGGTGCAATTAGCTTAAATGTCTTATTTGTTTGCATTTTCTCTACTGGTGACTGATGAAGGAAGGAAGGTCCAGTGAACCAAGAGGTCGACGCCAGGCAGGATGCAGGTTAAGGATCTGTACGTACATGGTTCCATCGTTTGGGCTTTGATGACTGATGGATACGTTGAATTCTATTGTCGACATACGTATAGAACCGTCTAGACTCCAAGTATAACCAAGTACTGCTTTGCTGTCTGTGTAGAACCTGGTGGCATCCACCTCTAGGTCTAGCTCATCCTGGAGGAAATCTGCCAACTCTACTGCTAAGACAGTGGCGCACAGCTCAAGCCTTGGGATTGGAGACTTGGACTGGGGTGCTAGCTTTGCCTTTGCTTTCAGGTAGACCACAGCACAGATGGTTTTGGTTGATGCATCCGAGGATACACACAATTCCGTGTGCACTGCTGTAGTAAGTGAGGTTGCTGTGTATGTGCGTGGAACATGAAACTGTTTCAGGTCCTCTCCAGGCATTCTATCTGCTTAGTTTGTCTTCTGGGAGGGGTGTGTCCCAGTCGGACAGCTTGGAGGAACGTTCACTGAGGAGAGCTCTTCCCTGGATTGTGACAGGTGCCAGCAGACCCAGGGGATTAAAAAAGATGTTGACAGTGGAGAGGACTCCACAGCGGGTGAATGGCTTGTCCGTGGTTGACACGGAGTAGGTAAATGTGTTGGTCGTAATCTCCTAGAGCAGACCTAAAGTCTGTTGTGTGGGTGTTGTTTCTCCACTCAG